TCCTAACTTGGACATACATATGTAATTTTATTGGTTGTTAATTAATCACATGAATTTATCGATCATTTTATAAAATTGAAACAAATCATGTGATTGTTGGGTATAACCTTCCGGCACCATAGGAAGAATAGCGCAGGAGATACTTTCCAAATTTGGCGATTACGTCACGATTTTTTAAAATTGACGCACAATAGTAAAAATATTAAATATACGTTAATTACGTTAAATAATTATAAAACGGCATAGCCTGATTCAATTTTGCTTTTAAAAAAAACTACAAATCTTTCCAACGTCATACCGAAACAAGTCGTTCTATAAAAAAGTAAATAACTGATCATAAAAAATGTTTCTTTCCACTATTGAATTCTTTTGTGGGCTATTGATCGACCTTGTCTTTGGTTCTTTGCTTTACTATAAAACGTATATTTAACTCGACAATATAAATCAAAAGCTCGAAATAATCATTCAACAGTCGAATCAAAGAAAATCAAAGTAAAATCTAAATCCAGTAAACCGCTCAGTGAGCCGCATTATTCGTTTGATATTGAAAGTTTGTGGAAAGATTTCAAAACTCTATTCGATAAGAAAGCTGAGTTAGACTCAGATTTTTCGTTTAACCAAGTGGCCACTCAAATCCGCGAGTTACGCGAGGGAAAAGGCGTTGCCGTCTCAACTTTGAAAAACTTCTACCTGCGAAAAACAAACCCTCGAAAAACAACCGTCGAAGCAATTCAAGGATGGATAGATAAAGAAAGGAGGAGTGAAGAAGAAGAAGACATTAATAGTAATAATAATCTGTAGCATAGATTCACTAGTGCGACCAAAGTATATCTGATTACGTTAATCTTTGCAATGCATATTTAAATTCTTAAATAAAAAACGAAACTCGCAAATTGTGCCAACTTGATGAAAACAAGGTCCCCATTTATATCATTGTGCTATCATATAGACTACAAATCACAAAATAACGCCTGTTTATGGAGAACTAAACTGGTCTTACTCCAAGTTTTATTTTTTACAATATTTATTGCGTTTAGAATGTTTATTCGAAATGTAAGTTATTTTATAGTATCGGTATACGATTATTACAACAAACGCAAATTTCTGCGCATTAATTATCATTGGTCACATTATGCATGCAGTTACATTGTGAAAGGTCTAGAAAGTTCCTAATAATACGTCATTGATTAAGCCACTGATCAGCGTTAAAATTGCGCAGCACACGAACTTCCAAAGTCAACGCCTTGTCTCAGCATGGAACTGTACTCGGAAATTTCGCGTCTTGCCCTCACAAAAGACGAAAAGACTGCTTTGCGTGCTTATTTTATAAGGAATGCCGCGCAGAAAGGGGAAGTAGTTGCTGCCTTATCAACGTGCGAAGATGATAATGATAAGGTTACCTTGTTGAAAGCTCTCTTGGAGCCAGCAGCAGGTAACGACTTTGTGATTCGGGCGTTGGAGACATAGAGTAGTGTGTGCATAGTGTATGGCAGTGTTGTTACGGGACAGCTTTGGACATGCCTTTGGACAATCTTGGACATTTTTGACAAAAAAAAAATCAAATTTACTCAAAATTTTATTAAAATAACCTGTTTGGACACTCTAATTAAAAATGTTTAGAATCTCTCGTTGTATATAATCATATATTTTTTTAATAGTATAAGAGTTTGGACACTTGGACATTTGGACGTTTGGACATTTGGATAGTCGAAAAAGTGCTTGGACATCCAAAATGTACAACACTGGTGTATGGTGTATCAATACCGAATACTTATTCTTGTGCTTTTCTTTCCTGATTCTTATCGTTAAACCCACCCAAAAACACATTCACATTATTGTAGAGCGACCCGGTGCTAATGGTAAGTGAGCCGTAATAAATGCGAGTGAACGTACTGCTTTTTCGCCGTTACTTTTTAACGTGTGCATCACTATTTCCATTTTATTCAGAACAACATATCCAGAGAATTAGGGATTTGAAATATGAGAATTTCCTTCTTAGGATATCCAATACACAAAGTTCTGCTTCCGTGTACAGATTTGTGAGAGCACAGGGAGACTTCCGACTTTGGGAAATCGAGGAGGATGCCAATATAGAACCACAAAGAGGGGCTGGTGACCATGTATTTAATAACCACCGTAATCCTCCCACTCAAGGATCAAGTGAAATTAATATAACCCAACCATTTTATAAGAATATTGTGAGTGAAATCAATGAAATCTTAAATCAGATGCACCCAAGTAATTTACTTGTATTGGGAGATGGTGGCGGCTGGACGAGAGAGAATATTTTCCTTGATATCATAATTGGCCCTTCCGGTTTCTACAAAGAATTGACAGAAAATCCACCTAATTTATCAAAGAGTTTGGGCTGGGAGGTCAAGAGTGATTTAAATGATGGTTCAAAAGTAACTGAAGGGAAAGGTCAACTAGTAAAATATGCCAGGGCATACCTTACAGCAGATCCACCTCTAACAAACGTTTTCTACGGATGTTTAACGGATGGAAAGCTTTGGTTATTTGTAAAAATTCAACTTGTATTAGATAATACTAATAACCCAAAAGTGAAGTTTGAGAAAAGTCAGACTTACGAATGGAGTGGAAAAACGACCTCATTTATTGCTGGCATAATTGAGCGTTATCATAATGACCTGTCTATGAGAGCTTCTGGTGACAAAAAAGAATATCAAAATAACGATGAAACGTATATGTATAGGAATAAGTCATCAATTTCTCCTGAAAGTCTCTTGGATTCTTTCATCAATGAGGGTATCTATATCAGATTACACTCTGGAAATCATATCCATGTGCAGATTACATCTCACCTTGGAACTGGAAGAGAGTGCATAGTTTTTTTGGCACAAGTACGTGATTATGGAATAAAAGATGCTGTTTTGAAGGTAAATTAATTCCTGAGAATGTCTCATACTGCGTATAATATAAACTTATCATATCAATCATTTTTTTATTTGAAGATCGAAGTTCGCAAGGACAGTGAAATCTCTCAAGTTTACCGTGAAATATCAGCGTTGCATGGACTAGGTGGTCTTTCTTGCGTTCCCACAATTCTCTTCGAAGGTTATACAATGGGAGGATCCCTGGCATTACTAACTGATTTTGTGGGACAACCCCTGGAATCATGGATTTCTGACAACGGCAATATAGATGATTACACAATTTTCCAAATAATTCTGAATCTATTATCGTGCTTGGAGAAGATACATGCTCGTGGTTACACACATGGAGATGTGGCCATACGAAATGTTATACAGAGAAATGGCCATTTCTATCTTATTGATTTCGGTCTTGCAACTCTGTTACAACTTCTCTCTGATCCATGTTAAGTAATTATTCAGGACTACATCAGTTTGTGTCAGATCATTGGAGTTATCAAGTTTGGAAAGAAAATGTCATTGTTAGAGTTAAGAGATAAATTGGATGGAGTGTTGAAGCCATTTGTTGCAACTATCGAGAATGTAAGTAGGTGGAAAATAATTAACGAAAAGAAGTGGTTAGAAAAGTTTGGTGCTAAAGTTAAACAACTTCATGAGAGAGGCCATAACTTGCCTAGAAAGGCATTGCTGGATATATCAGATAATAATATTATTAATATTTTGTAAATTCGTGTACATAAGTTTGTGATCAGAAAGCTATGGCAAATTTATTGTTAATGATTTAATAAATAAACAGATACAAGTGTCAATTTTAGCTTGCAAAAGTCACTTTTATCGCACAGTGTGGTACAATTTCGTCCATACATTTGAAGTTGTCAATCAGTTTATTTTAAAAGTCGAAATTGGTAATTATGGACCGGTTTACATTTTCAAAAGATCGTTTTTGATTATACTTGCTTTTAGTAATATAAGCCACTAAAAGCAATAAAACTTATATATAGGATTACCCGTATATGGTAAATAACGAATATAATGGCTTCACCGAACATGAAAAAACCATACGTTTCTTGGAATTAGGTTGCAAATGTGGTTGCTCAAAAACGATTTCGAGAGAAGGGTTTGTCGAAATACGTGAGACGTTTCAAGTCCTCTCAAGATCCGAACAAGATATATTTCTAATGGCCCAGTTGAAAGCAATGGATGGTGGAGAAATGACCGCCAGCTGACGTCTTAAAAAGAAAACGCGTACTCATAAGCGAACGTTTTACTACTGAGATCGCAATACGCCACTTTGTCAAAAAGCGTATCTAAATATGCTAGGAATTGGTCGCACATACTTCGAAAACATCAGAAATCACCTATCGATGAATGGTATAATACCGCGTGTTCATGATAATATCAAATGAATGCTGCGATGAAAAATCAAAATAACCATTGATATAACCGTTACTACCACCGTCAAGAATTTTCTCGAAAATTATGCGGAAATCCATGGACTACCAAGTCCGGGTAGAAATGTCAATCGCATTACTCAATCGCTTATACTTTTGCCAGCTAAAACGAGTTACAAGTCAGTCTATCATAATTTTATTGTAGATCTCGAAAACGACAGCATGTTGAAATTGTTAAAATATGATGCATTTCGCAAGTTATGGCACCAATTAACACCTTATATTCAAATCATGAGTCCAAGAATGAATTTGTGCGATGCGTGTCAACATTTTCGGAACGGCTTACAATACAATGCTCGCAAGGAAGAAGAAGCAAAAGATTTATTGAAAAAATTCAAAGAACATCTAGTTAAGGCTAAATCTGAGAGAAATTATTATCACAAAAATACGAAATTAGCAGAACAACAAAGGAAATTGGTAGATGAGCATTTTATGCCAAGAGGTAAAACTGATTATTGTAGTATAAACGTAGTTGCTCATTACAGTTACGATTGAGCACAAAATGTTCACGTATCCCATTCCGATCAACAGGTAAGTAAGATTTACTATCTCAATCCGTGTAAAGTACATTTATTTGGTATCCAAGATGAAGCAGTACGCTGTCACGATCAGGCTCCTGGTGGGTGATAATCGTGATGTCAATATTCAACCAACGTCTATGGATGGTATTTTTACGGTTACTCGATCTCGTTGTAATCGTTACTTTGGGATCATCACGCAGTGCGTTTTCTTCTATCCTAATGATAGGCTATCACTATTACTAAAAGATATAATGTCTTCTTAGTGTGGGACAGTCCTAAAGCAACACAGTACTGATGTTCTTTAGCAACTTGGCGGTTGTCCAATAGTGCGCAATAATTGCAAGTATTTTAATAAGTTATTATTTTTAAGATTATTATGAATGGATTATAATCAATTAAAGTACAATTTCATTAAACAATAAACAAGAGCAGTTTATTGACTAGCTAGATTTTGTATTGATCAATTGATGCCTTTTGGTTTTTCCAAAAGGTCCTTTATTTATATAAAATTATTTCATTACAAAGATATTATAATATAAGATATGTCATACAAATAAGATAATTATGATATGTCTAATTTCATAGTGTTGGTGAATAAGTCAGATATATTGGATATTTTGGATATATGTTATTTGACATGGTTAAATTTAAGAAATTAAGAAATTAAGATAATTCCAGTTGTAACATTTTTCTCCTCTTAAAAAAATTTGAGTATCACCTCAATCATAATCAGTTTTGGACCAATTGTTTTAACTGGTATAATTGTACTTTCCCTAACTTGCACAATTCTTGATAGGAAGTTGCTTTAACTGACAGCAATCTTTCTGGAGAGTTAGGAAAAGTTTCTGCGAGCCAAATCGCCAGTTGGAGTCATTTTCTTACTGATGTGGAGTGTGATCTTTTCTTTTTACCTTTCATCAATTGGAGGTAACTCGTGAAGTCGTCATTGTTGAGTTTTGTTAATTCTTTCCCTGTATATAACAAAAGGTATAATTTCTCTCCTGCATGGCCTTTGAATCTAAAACAGTTACCTAATTGTTACCAGGCTTCTTTTATTTTCCGTTTAGGTGTAATTTCATTTTTTTTTATATCAATTTTTCTGTTTCATTGTTTCCAAGAATTTCGTAATTGTTGATTGATTTCTGTGATCTTGGAATCGATTATTTCACGATTTGGATTGTCTGATGGATTTTCTAATGTTATTATTCCATCTAATGCGTCATTTTCCTCAAAGGTCGTGTTGGTTTGTTGTTTTGTTGTTAAGAATTCTTCTATAGTTGGAATGTTGAATTGTGGGCCTGTGTTTCCGACCGTTATTGTCAGGTCTAGGCAATTTTCTTTTAATTTATTTGAGATTTGGGTGGCTAATTACCATATTTTGTTTATTTCATCAATTCCATTATTGGGTACTATTGTTTCGTTGATTTGGTTATTAGTTGTCATTGTTGGATTTTACCGTTATCGTTGTTTCTCTCTTTTTTTTTATATTAAATTTTGAATTTTTGTTGACGTCAGATCAGAAAATCATATGATTTCTATTTTCCGATTGGTTCGATTATTATCATTGCGTGTTTATTAATTAATTAATTTTTTTTTATATGTTATATGTCTATCATTATTATCATTTTTAAATTTTTCTTTTTGTTATTATTTTATATTTTTCTTTTATATTCGTTCATGTTTTTGTTCGTTTTGGGAATTATTATGAATGGGGTCATTTTTGCGGTTTCTTCCCCTTCTTCATTTGAGGATTCGTCCTCGAATTTTTCGTTTTCGTATTTTCGTTCGTAGTAATGTTTTAGTCGGTTTCCGTGTACAAATTTGGCGTGTATTCTGTTTTGGTCAGCGAGTTTGTATGCTCCGTTGTTAAGTTTTTCGTGTATTCAGTATGGTCCATTCCATTTAGGGTCTAATTTACCAGACCATTGTTTATCGCTTTTGCTTCGATATACGAGTACTTTGTCACCAATATTATATTTCTTTTTGGGTAAGTTTAAATCGTGGCATTCTTTTTGTTTTTCTTGAGATTTTTCGATGTTTATTTTAGTCTCTAGTTGTTTTTCGTTTAATTAATAGATGATATCGAATATTCGTTGATTCATTGCTTCTGAATAGTTGTCGTTTGTTTGTTCAATATCAGTTGGTAATTGTAGATCGATTGGTAATGTGGCTTTCTGTCTGTAAAGTAGTTCGAAAGGGGTGAATTTGGTGGTATCGTGTTTTGCGGTTCAGTAAGCGAGTAGTGTTGCGAAAATGTGATCATCCCAGTGTGTCTTCATTTGGATCAATAATTTCGATAATGATTCACAAAGTGTTCGATTAAATCATTCAACAAGTCCATTCGTTTGAGGGTGATAAGGTGAGGATAATATTCTTTTAATATTCATTTGTTCACAAAGAGTTTTAATCTTCTCGTTAACGAAGTGTGTTCCTTGGTCTGTTAATATTTCTTTAGGACAGCCGTATCGAGAGATAATTTCTTCTTTGATGAACTTCTCTACATTTGTTGCGTCAGCTCTTCGAATGGCTTTAGCTTTCGGCCATTTGATTAGATATTCAACGGCTACTACAATATATTAGTTTCTTCTTGCCGTTACGGGAAGCGGTCCAACGATGTCGATTCCTATTCGGTCAAATAGTTTGGTAACCCTAATTGGGTTTAACAGTTCTGTCTTTTTCGGTCGTCCACGTTGTTGACAAATTTCGCAGGTGCGGATATATTCTTTTGTGTCTTTTGTTATTGTTGGTCAATAATATCTTTCTTTGATTTTATTAATCGTTATGTTTTGTCTGAGGTGTGCGGCAGTTTCGTTTGCATGGAGATGTTGAAGGATAATGTCCTTTTCATTTTTTAATATAACTCGTTTTGGTCTTTCTTCCTTTTGTCGATGGTACAGTCTTTCTTTCAGTATGAGATAATTGTTTTTATATTTTTGTATATATCTTTGTTGTTTGGGTGATAATTTCGCCAATATGGTTTGGTCTTTAATGTATTTTATCCAATTGTTGTATAGGTCTTGTTTCATGGTTTAATATCATTGTTTGTTGGGTGTAGAGTGTGTTTGGTCTTCAGGTCGTATTCGGTAAGGGGGGATCTGAGATAGAGCGTCAACGTTAGAATGTTTATGACTGGATTTGTAAATGATTTTGAAGTCGTACTGTTACCGTTTTGATGAGGCTTTCGAAATACTCAAAGGTATTTATAAAATTTAAGAAATATTCAAAGGGAAACTTCCAATGTCT